TGCGTGGGCAGGGCCGGCGCGGCGCTCGCCGGCCGTGCGCTCCCTCCCTCCCTCCTGCCCTCCCTTCCCGGTGTTGTAATGCCGGGCCCGGTGCCGAGCGGCCCCAGCCCGAGCGAGCGGCAGCGCCCGTCGTCGTGGGAAGGGTACGAGGAATAAGGTGCTTCGCCTTCCTTTTGTGCGAGCCTTGAACAAAGCTGGACGTCGGCTTTCCAAATCGGCTTTTGCCGTTCAGCGGCGTCAGACAAAAAAAGTCTGAAGAAATAATAACCCCAAATGATCGCCCGTATCTTAGTAGCGAAAGATTGTGCTTTTGAGACCGATTATGTACCGGTTTTCATAACTGATTACAAAATCTATTGAACAGCGTTCAAAAGCACAAATGGCTTTTTACCACCTTTCAATCAACCAAACTCTGATGTTGTTTTGGTAAAATTAAGAGTGAATTCAGCAGCAGGGAATGGTAGTAAGCTGTGGTATTTCCTTTCACCAGTTGCCTGTTACTTTGTGTCAAGTTGTATGACGATTTTTCCCAGTGTAAATTGATTGCCCTCCGAATTTACATATTTTGTTCTCTGCTTAGAATTATCTTTGAGTTCTTTTATCAAGTTAGCATGCTAGGGATTGTTCAGGCCTGTTACCTGCAGGGATAGAGAAGCTGCTTTTGTAGATAAGGAAGACTCTCCCAAATTGAAAGGTTTGTTTGATTTTTAGTAGAAACCTAATCCTGGAATAAAAAAGTTGACATAAGAGCAATTAGTAGTCAGATAATTTACCCAGTCTACAGCTAGAGGTACTCCATGTTGTGGCATTTGTAGCAGCCTGGATAAAACTCTTGCTGACAATGTATTTGTCTTTTGGTCTCCTACTTTTGTTCTTTTGTAGCTTTTTCTTAGGTTATGCACCACACTTTCTATAGGGTGTGTGCTTGGTGGTGTGCATTTTATATGTATTTATGTAGACAGGTGCAACCTGGTAGACTTTGAGATGTGGTTTGAAATTTTATGAAGGGTCTTCTCATGCACCTGCAAGATTCAGAGATTCAGCTGCCAGTCCTTAGTATGTCCTGCTGGCTGATCTCTTCCAGCAACAGAGTATATGTGGCTGGATCTGAATTATTTTCTTCCCTTAATTGTGAAGTAATTTAGTTTTGAAAGGGACCTCTGGATGTTATCTGTTTGAGCCTTTGTTGAAGTTAGAGCAGAAAGCTCTTGGTAAACTGCAAGCCTGAAATAGCATGTTACTTGGAATTCACTGATTAACAGACATGTTTACTAAAACAGTATGTAGCTACAGCATCGACTTTCTTAAAGCCAGTGTGTGGGACCCCAAATCCTCGTGTTTTGGACACTGCTCTGCAAGATCCTCACAGTCAAAATTGTTATGCATATGAAAAATACTGAATATGGTGGTGTAAATGATATTTGAGCTTTTTCTGGATACCAGCTCTGACATACAAAGCTGAAGTAACTTATTTGGTAAATTGCTGGAAAACACAGATGAATGAAAGACACCAATCAGTATGTGGCAGAGAAACTTACAAATGTTTGTTTGTCCTTGCTTATTTCAAGCATCAGTTGGAGATTTGTTCTATCTGGATACCTGGGAAAGTATTTCTTGGTTCCTCAGTAAAAAGAGGGCATATTTTCAGTGCCTGTGATTGTTTCACTTATCTTACTGCCATCTGTAAATAAATGACAGAAGGAACTCAGCAATTTAAAAGTATATCTCATCAGAGTCATATGTGGGTACAGATGGAGTACTTGAAACCTTGTTTCCTTTGCTAGTATTCTCAAAATGCAGGACTTGGAGGCAGGCACGGAGAGTGCCTGACAAGAAGTTTTTCCTTTCACTGCTGCTTTAGTGGTTCCACTTTTTCCTTTCTTGGACAAGATCTGCAGAACCCTCTGCAGTTGTCCCACCACAGCCGTGCTGATGGTCCCTTTTGTGCTTCCAGGATGGTCAGTGCTTTAAGGGGCAACGTGATTTCTTTCTGCCTTGTTTTCTTGCAATCCGTTCAAGGTTGCTGTGAAAGCTGTTGAGGGTTCACTGCTCTCCAGCAGCAAATAGTTACTCTTTAAAATGTTTAAAACTGACAGTGAATGGAAAACTTGACCTGCTACATTGTGTCCTTTAAGAATAACAAGGAGACCACGCTAGGTGATACTTGGGACTGGGTAAAAGTTTGAAACAGTCACCTCATTTTTCTTCTGTACAGAAAACATAATTTTAGCAATCTCTGTGCTCTTATTGAGAAGATCTATGGAATAGCTATTCTGTGAGGGATTTAGTCCAGAAACATCTGTGTAGTACATTGTATTTGGGGTGTGTAAATCCCAAGAGCTTTAGCTTCATAAAAGACACTGACCCACACTGACCAGGAAATCAGGGGACAAGCTGCCAACCTGCCTGAATGGCCTTTGTTGAGAACTGGCTTCCCAGGACTTTGCTGGGTATGTTTACAAAGCATATTAGGTGTATTTCATGTCCATTTCCCTCCAAAGTAAAACGAAGCAATTATGGCACTAGTCTGCAATATATATTTTGAAATTCACTGTAGCAGGTTGGACACTGAAGCATTTTAGGATGACATATATTTGATATATTGAGAAGACCAAGAACTTCATTCATCTTGTGGTAGTGCAAAACCCTTGCATGGGTTTCTGGTTATGACCCCATTGTTTCAGCTGTACACAAACAGTGTGAGAAATATAGTCACTCTGTTTCAGATTTATAATCCAGAGAGGTTTTTTCTTGCCATTTTTCTAAAGGGTGTCTTGTAGTTGCCATCCCATTTCATTTGAATTCTGGGTGTTACGGTTAGGTTTAGTACTGTTTAATGACAGTCTGGTTAGCAAAATTCAAAACAAGAGTTAGGGTAGGAAAATAAACTCTGGTTCATGATTGTGATAGTATTCATAGGTTGTATAAGCAGGAGGAAAGGAAAAGCCACAGCAAAGCCTTGTTGAAGGTCAGGTGTGTCACCAGCTCTGTGTTTCTGCAGTGACACCTGTAGTTACAGTGAAGGTGATTGCCCTGATGGAGCTGTCCCTGCCATCACTGAGCTGTCACCGGTGCCTCTTCATGGAGGGGGGGAAGTGCTCCGAGTATCATGAAGGTGTGAACTTTGAATGTTTTAAAATATTTTGATTAGACAAAAATCTGTGTAGTAACAATTCACAGAATGTGTACCTGCAACATGCAGCTAAATGTTCTTATGCTCATTTTCCCCTCAAAATAGGATTCCCCAAAATACAGAGGAAAATGTAGTGCATTTAAATGTAATTCAAGTGTCATGAGTTGCTTTGCATTAAAAGGGGAAAATATAAATATTAACTCAGCTCTGTAGTATTGTAACTTAATTTGCATCGTATGTTATAACAGCAGCAATGCTTGTTACAAAAATTTGATATCACATAAATTTTTGCAGTGTGGTTTCAGTCAACTTTATTAGATTAAATGTGGAAGCAACTAGCACTTCTTTGTGTCTATATTCTCTGAGTTCACTACCTTAAGGAGAAAACTGTCACTACTGTCATGCTTTGGTTGATAAATACAAGCAGATGAGGCAGCGATAAGTTAGAGAAATATCAAAGTCTCACAAGATACGTACCAGGAAATAGATCTGGTTTGTAGAAGCAATTTCCTTTTCACTGCTGCAGCCATTGAAATTATTTAAATTTGCTTTTATTTTCTTGTTATTAAAACAAAAAAAAATCCCACCTAGAAACATTTGTAGGCCTTTGTACTTCCTCTGTGAGAGCCTGATCCCAAATTTGACTGGAAATTGGTGGACAGAGCTCAAATGACTTTGGAGGACTGAAGTCATCAGAGATTTCACTTATGCAGAGAATCAATATTCTGCTCATGAGATTTGTGCAAATGAGCACACTGTGTGCTCAGAGTCAGAACATCAGGGATATGAAAGTGGTGAATAAGCTCAGCTAACATTTTCTAAATTAATCATTCTTTTTCCTATCCTGTGTTCAGCTAGAAATTCACAGTGCAGTGGTCAGGCAGAGGAACTGTTCCATGTGTTTTTGCAGGGGTGTAGAGGGCTTGAAAAGGAAGCTTAAACAGAAGGGTTGGGAGGAATTGTTCAGCAGGAATAATGGAATACATGAAATACTGAGAACATGAAAAATGTATCATCTACTTGTCCCTTTATATTTGGGAATGAAAGAACTTGCGCAGTAGCATGAGAAAAAGAGGGATTTATTGGAAGAAAATAGTGAACCTCAGTGACTGGAAATGTGAGTGAGGAGACCACAAAGCTGGGTAAAGTGTGCTCTTCCTGGCTGCATGTCCTTCTTTGTGGAAGAGAAAATCATCTTTAACAGAATGCCTTGGAGAAGATTTTTAGAAACCCTCCTGTTTCCCTCTCAGTGTTATGCAAGCAGCAAGCCTTGCAGTTGTCAGGTTTGGACAACTGAGAGTTAATTACAGCACAGGACTGGGACAGGGCACAGGCATGAGCTGCCAGCTAATGAGGTGCAGCCTTCTCCTCGCTCCGTGGTTTGGGCACTGAATCTATCATCTGTTCAGGCTGTTGAAGGGATTTTAGCAGTAATGAAAAATTCAGTAGTGGTACCAAGTATTAAGCAGAAATGTCCCTGATGAGAGAAGATATGGGAATTTCACTTTAAAGATTTTTTTTTAAACTTGGTTTGAATGTCTCCTCTCAAAGCCAACAATAAATCCTACCAAATAAAA